AATAATTATATTTTAAATTATTATCACATTTTTGTATTCGTATATATTAAATATACTCATAATATTACTTATTTTGTATTAATGTAATTTGTTTAATGTATTACAAAATACATTAAATATTCTCATAATATTACTTATTTATCAATCAAATATTATAATTCTTAAAATAAGAATATCTCTTTTAATGTCGCGCGTAAAACGAGATTGCTAAAAATACAATAATAGAAATTTAACGATGCTAATCATAAATTCGAACCATTCGAATCAATATCATTTATCTTTTTTTTTTTTTTTTAATTTTTATGCTCCTAGAGGTTCCTATGATTCGAAATAAATAAATTAAAAAAAATATTCTTTTACAAGGGGGGCGGGACCAGAGTGACCCTTGTCAGATTTTTTTCAAATTTTGCATATTTATAGTAGTCTGTGAGAATATAAATTGTACTTTTAAACATAACTTATACATTCAACCATTTGTGAAAAAACGGTGGTAGAAATTTAGCAAAAATTCTGACGTTCACTGTATTTCTTTTTTTTCGGTAGCATAACACTAGATTTATCAGACTAGTCATTTTGACTTGCAATTTCAATTTAAAATTCCTACTGCATGTAACATTTTCTTTTTTGTAATGACTAAAGAATCAGTTTTATGAACTTTATATTATTTTATACACTCGTAAACAAATATATTTTTTGTTATTGCTATTTTTACCTTACTAAGCACTTTTTTTAAAGACCAGTCATTTTTATTGGTTTTGGTAGAAATAGGTATATCAAAATAGTTGGTAAATCTAGTGATAATAATGGTCTCGTGTCCCTAATGTCGACGGATCGATTCCTCGACAGGGAAAGTTTTTTTTTCTAGTTTTTTTATTTTTTATTTTTTATTTTCGTTATTGTAAAGTATGTTTAATTAATTTAATTTTATTTTATTTTTTCTCTAGAGTTAGAAGAAATTTTTTTTTGTATTAAATTTATTATACAGATTTATAATTAATTTTGTTTATAGCTATCCACCATCGTTATACATTTTCGATCATCTGAAATATTTTTCTTTTAATTCTGATATTATAAGCTGAATGATAAATTACTTTTTATTTTCCTTTTTTTAATCAGTATATTAGTGTATACTTCCATTAACTTTACCGTTCTCTCGGTTATATCATGATAAATATTATTTTTCATCTAGGTGCAATACTCCAAAATTATAATAGCTAAAAATCTGTAAAAAAAAATCTATGAAATATCTACTATTATGTGAAGATAAAATCTATAAATGTTCAAATCTTTTAAACGATTATTTTAACCGGAATAAACAATTGCCAAAAAATTCCATATTATCATTTAGATAAGTAAACTTAAATCACTTTGTAACAAAGATTAAAATTAAAATAAATACTTGAAATTCGCAGAATATTTTTTTTTTATTTCAAACCATATGAGTCTCTTTGAAAATATAAAAATTTAAAAAAATATCCAAAATATAAGAACTACCACTTAAATTTATTTACCACGTATAATTGAGAATATGTTCGAATTTGTTTTCAGGGCGATTACATCAGGCACCCAGTTCTTTACGAACTGTCGAGCAAGTACGGTGTTGCTGGCAGTGACCAGGTGCCCTTGCCTGTTCGTCTCGATGAGCTCCGGGAACACATACGCAGAGAAATACGTAAGGTATGTATGTATAAATAGGGTTGTCCTAAACTTACAAGAAGAACGTACGGTTGAATACAAACAGATTAGTACAAGATTTGGTATATCAGTAATATACCTTAACACGTTCCCTGCTAGATCGTTTTTTGAAAACTTTCCGTTCGGGTCACATGGGGCGTATGCCCCAATTCTATTTTTTTGTTTCTGGCGTATACCTAATAATAATTATAATAGTGCAAAAATCATAATTATCAAGGAATGGGAGAATAGTTTAAGATGCATAACACAACAAACCAATAAATTTATTTTTTTAGAAATTAGTTCCAACAAATACCTGGCATGTCAGAATCATCACTTGAAAAACTGTTGCTGTGTGATACCATGTCCGCTTATAAAAAGTAATTATTGTCAAATTTTGGAAAAAGTCTGAAGAAGAAAAGTAGAGAAACAAATTGCAAATAAATTTAAATACAAAATGTCCTAATCTATAATACTAAAATAATATATACGTATCGTATATACTTCGTTTATTGTACTTTAGAAACACACTGAACTATAAATAAATCCCAGCTGCACTGAAGCAGTAACTGTTTTGAATAAATGACTGATCGGAACACGAGAAATGCAGTTTAAAACAAATTGCGGTACAAAAAAATTGTCTATCACGCCGCGTGGGGCACATACGCCCCACCATCAAATGAACGCATCAGCAACAATATTGAGATGCCTGTAATTGACTGCATAATGAATTTTTTAAAAAATTCGTCATTTTACAATAATAATACCAAATAGCTTGAACGGAAAGTGCTGCGTGGGGTGCATACCCGGAAGGGAACGTGTTAAAGATGTTCTCGCAGTAAAACATTTCGTTGAATTGGCCAGCCAATTTTAAGAAAATAAACTTTTGTGTATAACCTACAACTGTACCAAATTTCAAACAACTATTTATCAATTTTTATCAGAGTTATGATATTTATAAACGTTAAGAAAAAAAAATGGCATTTGTTTTTCATTTAAAACTTTAACGACTCTGAGGAATATTCTCATCGTATGGAACTGAAAAAACAAGCGGAATGATTCCCAGTATACTAAATGAAAACCTTTATCTCGTCAAGATAGTTTAATGCTAGTCTTTGTACATATTAGTATTCCTGGTGACCCTGATAAGCGAGTATCTTTAGTTGGTTTACAAGATAAGTCTTATGTATCAAAACAATTAACACGTTGACTGCTGGCACATTTGTCTCCCACGTCTACACTTTTTTTCTATTATGCGATGCATATTTTGTTGAAATTTTGTTTACAACTGATGTTGTATAATTGTGTTTTATCTTTATTTATGGTGAGGTGGTCACCGGTGACCGTCGAGGCGCTGTAGACCATTTTATGATTATTTGTTCCATCGAAATTTATAGCAACGAATATTTTCTGATCGTTACGATTGATTTTATATGCAGAAGACTAATACAAAGACCAAAGGGACCGAATTTCACAACAAAATATATTTTATTTACTCAGTTTATAATAGTCACAAATCTCTTCGATGAACCAACGGATTTTTTGATATTTACTTAAAATTTGTCTATTTTATATTTTCTTCGAAATTTTATTTTTGTTTGCAAAAATCTGAAAATGGATAGTTTTCAACAAGTACTCTCGTGTTGTAAATTCAATTGTGTTATAGAAACAAATAACTCGTAACTAATTTTCCTTGTAATAAAAAAATTATTATTACATGCTCCGTACGTCACAAGTTTCTTCACAAACCCTTATAAAAACAATGATATTTTTTAAAAATTGATCAGAATCGATATTTACTCTAATTATGTATTTTTACTAATGGTTGTGTTGTGGTCACCAGTGACCGTCGAGGCGCTGTAGACCATTTTATGATTATTTGTTCCATCGAAATACGGAAAAGATTGAGAAATTTATAGTAAAAAATAATTTCTGACCGTGACGATTGATTTTATATGCAGAAGATTAATACAGAAACCAAAGGGACCGAGTTTCACAACAAAATATATTTTATTTACTCAGTTTATAATAGTCACAAATCTCTTCGATGAACCAACGGATTTTTTGATATTTACTTAAAATTTGTCTATTTTATATTTTCTTCGAAATTTTATTTTTGTTTGCAAAAATCTGAAAATGGATAGTTTTCAACAAGTACTCTCGTGTTGTAAATTCAATTGTGTTATAGAAACAAATAACTCGTAACTAATTTTCCTTGTAATAAAAAAATTATTATTACATGCTCCGTACGTCACAAGTTTCTTCACAAACCCTTATAAAAACAGTGATATTTTTTAAAAATTGATCAGAATCGATATTTACTCTAATTATGTATTTTTACTAACGGTCGTGTAGTGGTCACCGGTGACCTCACGGCAGCCAACGTGTTAATAATATTTTGACTGCTTCTGTAAATAATATGGCTGTTGAGGTAATGCAACAACAGATTCAATAGTAAAAATATAAAATGATTTGATACTCTACTTAAGATTTACCGTATCTTTCTTCAGTTCATCGTAACGGAAGATGACATTGCGAGAACAGTTATCATAATAACGTTCATTATTAACAACAACTTACCTTGAATTAGGAGGATTATCTTTACGGTGTTCGACAATTTCTATAAAACCAGGACTGACGAAGCAATTTTTTGTTGAAAAGATGGAGCCAAATTTCCTTTCACTGTGGTTTTATATTAGATTGGGGAAAAAGAAATCCATTATTTTTTCGACGGATGCCTTTAGTGATCGATATCTTGTAAAATATAGATCAAGCATTTTTCAGATTTATGCTCGTTGTAAAGATGACATTTCACACAAAAAAAAATTCTCTTGCTGATTTTTCTTTGGTCCATTCAGTTGTGAGTTATAGGGTGTTAAAAATGGAAATTAACGGAGAGAAAATTCGGTACATTTTAGTTTTTCTTTGATAAAGGCGAAAATGCAAGCCCAGACGGCTGAAATTGTGAATGGTGTTTATGGTCTCGATATTGTAACAGCTAATAACGTGCAAAAAAAAAATAAAAAAAAATTGTTTTAAATAAAAATAAATGAGATCCGTAAAAATTCGGATCTCTACTGTCAACAACTGGACCCTTTGAAGCTAGCGATTGACCAGAAACGTCCAAAATTGGCCAACAGAGAGGTTTTGTGTTCGATTAGGACAACGCCAGGCCACACAAGTCTATAGTAATTGGCCAGAAACTGTGAGAGCTTGGTTGGGAAGTTTTGATGCATCCACCATATAGTTCGGAACTGGCATTAAACGATTACCATGTTTTTCTTGCATTGCAAAACTTCCTTAGTGATAAAAAATTGATATCAAGAGAAGATTGCAAAAATCTATTACTAGAGTTGTTCGACAATAGGGACCAAGACTTTTATGAAAGGAGCATTATGAAGCTATTTTTAAAATGGCAACAAATTATAGAACAAAACGGTCCATATTTAACCCAAATCAGACAATCCAAAACATGTTAAATAAAGTCTTGAAATTCATGTAAAAATAATTGATTTCTTTTTCCCCAACCTAATATTAATATTTTAATTTATATAAATCAGTGATTACTGGAGAGAATTTGGTATGATCTTTTCCAATACTTTTGACAGCATGCATAAAAGCCATGAATTTCTTGTCCCTGGCCTCATTTTGTTAATTAAAATATCTTCTTCCATGACACCTAATTGTTCTACACCTCTAGAATGATATAATTCTGCTTGACGTCTAATCGATACGACCATATTTGATATCCTTACTGTAAACATTATTACATTTATACATGTCTAATGTGATAATCTAAAATCATTTGATGATTATGGGGATTCCAAATACAGCTCGTTTTAATTTTAATATGTTAACGTTATCCTGATCGTTAACTTCATTTTCATTTTTTGTTCAATAGTAGACTGATAATCGAATAATCTATTAAAGTGAATTTTCCAAAAGTAAATTTTACAAAAACAATCCACAAGGCAGTTTATAATAGAATAAACACAATGAACTTATGGTTCACCATAATAGGATCAGCTTTTAGAGATATAAATCCAAGTTTATGGACTAATACTTTTTATCTTCAATTAAATACACATTGGTATTATTATTTAATATAAAAATTTTATCTATAGCCATATATTTAGATGGGGAACAACCTCTCACTTAAGATTATTCTACGTAAAGGCATTAAAGAAAGATGAATGGCAACTGATTAAGTCTCTTTCATTTTGAGATTGTTTTACAATAAATATTTGAAAATTTTGTTATAAAATTACTGTATACTCCATTTATCGATTAGAATATTCAATTATGTTTAATAATTCTACTCTTTTCCATTAACACACGTGATTTTCTTCTATTCTTTAATATTTAATTGTATAATATTAATATTTATATATTTATTAATATCCTAATATATTCTCCAAACGCTATTATAATTATTTTCTTTTATTATAAACAATTAATAAAATTAATACAATTATCAATATTACTCATATGTATTGCCAGGTTACGTATGATTNTATTCTCCCCCATATTTAATTGTATAATATTAATATTTATATTTATTGATATCTTAACATTCCAAACGCTATTACAATTTTTCTTTTATTATAAACAATTAATAAAATTAATACAATTATCAATATTACTCATATGTATTGCCAGGTTACGTATGATTCATTTATTTTGAATATATTAAAAGGAAAAAAGAAAATAAATTAATATATCGTATTTTATTTCCTCATTTGATTGCAAGCTTGTGCAAATTTTTTTATATTTATGAAATGTGGAAATTACGTGTCGCTGAATGTCGATGACGAAGATGGGAATGTTCTTAATAGAAAATTATTTTAGGACATTTCTCTCAATAAGTTGCGTTATATTTACTTGGAATCATTATGGTACATACGAATATAAAGAATTGTATTCATTTTTTGATGATGATTGTATTTTTTATTTTTATTTTTTTTTTTCATATCTTTGAATTTCTTTGATTATATCTTATATTA